GCTATTCGAATCGAACCTCTCCTCTATGTCTCAGCACGAAGTCCAAACTTCCTACAGTAAGAACAACTTTCAGATTTCCTGTTGATGGAAATTTATATCGACTTGCTGTTCACATTAATCCATCTTCTTTCACCATTGCTGCAAGTAATTTCCCATCATTCATTACCAAATTTGGTCAAACTCTTGTAACTGTAGAACCAGTGTCGATCAACATACTGCAAGGCATCCACATCAATAAACCCAAGGACTCTTAGACTGATTTCTTTAAATAGTGGTATTATCTCATTTGTGGCAGATGGGGGTATTCTCAACTGAACTTTGTCCAGCTAGTTCGTGTTTCCCTATGTTTAGTTCGCCCTTTGTTATACATGAGATCTGGTTGGGCTCCGATACTCATCCTTAGCACATTTTCTCTTTGGTGTATTAACAGCTATTGTTTCCTCACATTCTCGGCTGTAATGGCCAAGTTTTCCACATCTATAATAGGTCCTTTTTACTGACATCCTTTACGAGGATTGTTATTCCCTATATGCTTTTTCTGCAATTCCTAGCACTGTTCTTTCAAATTACACTTGAAGTATATATATTGTCTTGTAGGTAATTCTCCTCCATTCTGTGTAACTAGTACTTTCAGTTCTTTTAGACTACTGTAAGCAGTAGGTGATGTTTCATTACTACTCGATTTGATGATCCCGTAAAGCCTAGATGTCGCCTATAATAATTTACCCGCAAGTTTAAATTTCCATCACCAAATGGACAACTTCATTTAAAGATGCACACCTATTTTGCTTCAGCCTAATTGTCATATCCTCATCTGTTATAGTATTTAGAACTTGGTCACGTGCCAATGAATACATCATTCTACGTGCAGCAGATATGCTAATTGAATGAGCGTTTCTAAATCTTCTACAAGTTCTGCTCAAGTCTCTTCTTTCCTCTATACTCTGTTCAAGAACTTTACTCTGGATACTTTCTTCTGGTGTGTCACTCCAAACCTGTTGTATAAGGCAGCTACCCATGCTTGATAGTTATTATGGCTCTCAGCTGGAAGGTTACTTAATGTTGTTAAAGTTTGTTCTTTTAAATATACAAGATGAATAGCCTGTTATTCACTATTTCAATCATTTCATTTGGACCACAGTCCACTGGTTTGTCGATTAGGCGATGTTGTTGAACTGGCCAGCTGAATTTGGTAGTGATATGGCTGAAGGAACTTCTGTAGCTAGAGATGGCACAGCAGTAGTGGCAATAGGTGTAAACCAAATAAGTTATCTTACTTCCATATTTTGTAGAAATGGTGTTTTAGGTTGGTATTCACGAGCAGATACAGAAAGGGTTGTGACTGGTTTAATCGCTGCACTGACCAATTTGTTTTCCAAGTATTTTATTATGTCACTGACGTTCATTTCTACCTCACTGAACTCTTTCTGTACATCTTCGTTTATGTCATTACAGTTTTTCTGTCCTTTGTTGATGTCTTTCTGACCTTCTTCAAGCTTCTTGTTGTAATCCATCTGTACAACCCCAATAATTTCGTGGATCTTGTCTTTAATCAGATTTATATTCATTCTTAAATTTTTTTTAATATTACGCCTTTATTTTAAACTTCTCTTAAATTCTTGTACGTTACTTCTTGATTTTCTCTCATTTTCTGTCTCTCTCGTTTTGGTCTTCCTCTAATTAATTTTCTTTGTCTCTTTCTTCTTGGCCTTCTTTTAAATGTTTTTAGTAATGTTTCGATCTCGCTTCTTGTCCATAATTTCGCCTTAAACAGTTGATGTAGAAGTTTTGTCAAAGTGTTATTTATTATATTTTCACCAACACAATACCATTTATAACACCAGTCCTGTAATAAAGTATTTTATCGTAGGCGGATTCTTTTGGATTAATTGGTAAAAATAATACCTTATCCAGTCCAATAACAATAACGAATTAGTTTATTTCTTCCTTAACGTTTGCTAGAGGCTACTTTCACTTGTAGTTGTAAGTCTATGTGCACAATATTTTAACAGTAATTTCTTAACTAATGGTAATTATGCCTAACATACTTAGACCGATGAAAAAAAACACCTTCCAATTTCCACACCACTCATAAATTCTCGATTATTATTTGATAAGAAACCTTCTGGACGGTGCATATTAGATATATAACATGATCACCAACTTCCTCCAGCAAAGATCTAAATTAAAACAAAAAGCATAAACGATAGTGGTTTATAATAGGGATCGCACAGGAATTTGTGCAAAATTCTAATAGACCATTCGGGCAAAAACCATCTTAAAAAGCAGACTTATTATTGACACAAAACATTCATTTTCAATAGTTAAGACCACCCAAACATTTATATAAGTAAAATAAGTGATTTCACGATTGTTGACAAAATCAAAATTTGCCCATTTGTTCATGTTATTATTATTATTGTTTTACAAACCTAGAGCAAAATCGGTCGGGTATTTAGCACCAAAAACCTAGACAGATATACCATATGAAGCGTTGCAAATGTCTATGACCTATTTCAAAGTTGATTATTTTTCATTGAAAGTTGATTTACGTGGTTATAACTACATAATAGATGAGATGTTGTTCTGAGCGGCTGCTTCTGTATTCGACGCGAGTTAAACGCGTGTTTACTCGAAACTTCAGGCATAACGCCACCTGGCTCAGTAAATAATTACTTTAAAAGACACTAAGCTTTATTTAAAACAATGTACTAAATGTATTTGTTATATTTGAAAAGGCTTTTCAACTGGTGAAATGTTATACGCACTTAGTGAGGGTTGTGTCTTATTCTAGGCATATATTTGCCTTTTTTGGCATTAATAAAGCCAATGTACAAGATAATTTTAAAAATGAGAATTTAAAACCTACAAATAGGGATTGCAAAAAAGTAAGCAAACAAGGATGGACATCTACTGCTGACAGTTTGCTCAAGCTACAAATCCCTATTATGACTCCAGTATAAAATTATTATTGCAAGTGATATCTACTGTAGTGTAGGATCGCACAGGAAGTTTACAAAAAAAAAAACCTGAAAGAGTAGTTTTAAACTTAATTCGACCTCCTTAATTTTGTTGTGCTGTGAAATTATCCAAGTCCTTCACTTTCAGCCATAAAAAAATCCGGTGTTTTCCTAGCGTGCGTGTTAGTTGGAAACTACAACTCGTAAAATTTGTACTGAGTGCATTAATTGGAAACTGCCACGTGAAAGGTCCCCGATTTTGATGTTGCTTATCGTTACTTGAGTCGCTATGTTCATCATTACTCCACTTTGCTGTCTCTACTTGGATTTCCGTGACTATATTTCAGTAAGTTTTTAACGGTAGATGATTACAATAGTAGATTTTCATACTCAGACGACGGTGGTTATTCATTCTACTGTTTGTTATACTTAGCTGAAATCGTGGTGCGTATTCAGTATTTATTACTACCACATACTGCACTATTTTTAGATAGTTGCTGTTAAGGTAGTGGTTGTAAACGTTGTCGATAATTGCCGACCTTACCTTAAGTGTGTCGCTGTTGTATATTTTGCATGTATTATTTGTGTCGCCTTATTCTAGCAAACTTGCGCAGGGTAGGCTGTTGAAGAACATACATAGATGTCAGTCACGTAGACCTAACAAGGTGAACATGTTCCTACGTCTGTTTACATTGCATTAAATCTGTGCTGTGTTATCATAGAAGAAACATTATTCCATTCTGATGAGAACATTACACTGTGACATTGATGGAAGCTGGTCATTAAATCTGTGATGATACAATCTTTGCCTTCAAGAGGGTTCTTTGAGAACAACTTTATATTTTGTCTGTCGTAGTTGCAAACCAGTACATGTGTTTATTCTTTGTTGTACATTTGTTATTTATTTTGAATAAGTTTAGTGTAGTTGTTGGGTGGGAAAAAAAGCCAATGCAGCAATAAACTGTTGAAAAACATGTAACAATGAACTGAATGCATATGCACGTACGTAGCTTAATATTAATTCTCCATAAACGGACATAAAAGAACTTAAGAAACAAGATTAGTAAAAAAAAATAATTTAAAAGGGTGGAATAGGGATCGTCAAACAAATATAGGAACACGTTGAATCAAAACGCAAAGATTATATTTTCAAGCCTACAACTAAGGACTCTAAAAAAAGTAAACAAACAAGGCTGGAAATAGTGTCTACATTGTTTTCTCAAGCTAGAAGTCCCCATTTTGACTCCACTAAAATTGATAAGTACTTTAGCATGAAGTCAAAATAGGGATTTTTTGTTTGAGAAAATGATGTAGACACTATTTCCAGCCTTGTTTCTGTACTTTTTCTAGAGTTCCTAGTTGTAGGCTTGAAAATATAATTTTTGCATTTTGTTTCGACTTGTTTCTGTACTTTTTTAACGATCCCTATTCCCCTATTTTAAATTAACAATTTCTACTAATCTTGTCTAAATATAGCTCACAACAATAGCTGTCTGTCGTATCCCAGCTGGCCTGATGAACACTAGTATTAGCGAAAGGCCTCTTTGGCACTGGATAGTATAGATATAGTGTGATTGACATATTACTACATTCTTCTTCATTTTCAGTCACAAGTTCCTATTATTTGTTGAGTTTTGTGTGAGTATGGTTATTTGTTTTAGTATGATAATTCCAAATGACTCCCAAGTGTTTGTTTTTAGCTACATATAAGTAATTTGTCTATATTTATGAGCCATGCCTGGCGTGGTGTTTAGGACATTCGACTTGCCGTGGGGGCGTTATAATGTACGGCCAATCCCACTATTCCTTGGTAAAGAGTAGCCCAAGAGTTTATTAGCTGCCTCCCTCAAGAGTCTCTAGACTATCATCTCAAAATTTGGGCCGGCTTGCGCCGATAGTCCTCGCAGTAACAATTGATTTTGTTGAACTCAAAAGTGTGATTTATCGTTATAATATATACTCTTACATAAACATCCTAATACAGATGAAATAAGAGTTGGAATAGTTCTAATATTAAAAGAATATTTTGATCGAAATAACCTTGCTCAGCTTTTCTCCCTCGTTCTGGGGCAACAACGCCCTCAAAGACTGAAATCCAGCGTTAATACTTTGCATACGACGTCGCTCGTTGCTGTTCGCTATTTCTCGCCGTATTCTTTTCTCCTGTTCAAGTTGCATTTTGGGTGACAATGGTATGTTTCCAAGCCTGAAAAAACAAAATAACACAAAGATCACAATTTTAAATTGGGCATTAATACGATTTATGGTGTTACACGTTCCCTGATTAAAAGCCCTGGGCCAACACCATATTTCAATGACTGATTTGACGGTCTTCGAATACTGGTCTGATATGACATATAAATGAAAATAGTGTTTTATATATGTTATTACTCAAATACTTACGATTTTCATGGGTAAAAGAAATACCATTTGTAGCATTGGAACTAATTTAGATGGCGTATTTTGATATCGTTAACAATGAAGATACCCAATTAATGAAACAATACACATTGATCTTTCTCCTGAAGATGAGTAAATTCAAGTCAAGATAAATAGATAATAATGTTACAACAGCGGAAGTCACGTGATTCTGGTAACACGTCATGAGATTCTCGAAGGATCTTGACTTTTCCTGGCAACTCTAGTTATTTCTAGGCGCCCTCTTTTTTTTGTATATAAGCCCGGCAAATAATTTGCAGTTAGATAGTCATCGAGACAGATAATTGAGTCAAGCGAGGGATAGTGACCGTAAGTAAAGTGCGTGAATCGTTGTGAATTATAGCGTGTGTTTAAGTTATAGTGATTGTGGAAATTCTGTGTATTGCAAAGTTGTATCGAGAAAGAATAAACTAGTTTTATTTAAGAAAGGACTTGTATCGCTGAAGTTCTTCGGGAAGAATTTATACCGGAAATTAATAAACGACCAGAGACGTAACAATAATAAAAAAATGGTGTAAGATATATAAAGAATATTTTGTTATTGAACTCTATCCTAATTCTGATTTCTAAACAACTAATATAAAATTGATAAGGATTACACTTCATTTACTTAACCTAGCTCACACCGTAACAGTTGTTCATTCCATTTGGTTGTGTAAATAGCGTTTTAACATGTATTATTGTTTGTGGTATGCCAGCTGGCCTAATGAGCCTTGATATTGTTACGTCTCTGGTCGTTTGTTAGTTTCCCGTATAATTTCTTTCGGATGAAACTTTAGCAATACAAGTCCTTTCTTAAATAAAACTAGTTTATTCTTTCTCAATACAACACACGCTATAATTCACAACGATTCACGCACTTTACTTACGATCACTACCG